CTCCAGGATAGATCACATCATGGGTCACAAATCAAGCCTCAGAATATTTAATAAAATTGAAATCATATGAAGCATCTTTTCTGACAACAATGCTATAAGATTAGAAATCAATTACAGGAAAAAAACTGTAAAAAACACAAATACATGGAGGCTAAACAGTGCACTACTAAATAACCAAGAGATCACTGAAGAAATCAAAGAAGAAAAAAAAATACAAAGGAACAAATGACAGTGAAAAGATGATCCAAAACCTATGGGGCGCAGCTAAAACAGTTCTAAGAGGGAAGTTTATAGCAATTCAATCTCACCTCAAGAAACAAGAAAAATCTCAAATAAACAATCTAACTGTACACTTAAAACAATGAGAGAAAGAAGAACAAAGAAAACCCAAAATCAGTAGAAGGAAAGAAATCATAAAGACCAGAGCAGAAATAAATGAAATAGAAACCAAGAAAACAATAGCAAAGATCAATAGAACTAAAATCTGGTCCTTTGAGAAGACAAACAAAATTGATAAACCCTTAGCCAAACTCATCAAGAAAAAAAGGGAGAGGATGCAAATCAATAAAATTAGAAATGAAAAAGGAGAAATCACAACTGACACTGCAGAAATACAAAGGATTATAAGAGACTACTACAAACAACTATATGCCAATAAAATGGACAACCATGAAGAAATGGACAAATTCTTTGAAAGGTACAATTTTCCAAGACTGAACCAGGAAGAATTAGAAAATATAAACAGAAATATCACAAGTAATGAAATGGAAACCATAATTAAAACTCTTTCAACAAACAAAAGTCCAGGACCAGATAGATAGAATTCACTTCACAGGCGAATTCTATCAAACATTTAGAGAAGAGCTAACACCCATCCTTCTCAAACTCTTCTAAAAAGTTGTAGAAGGAGAAACACTCCCAAATTCATTCTATGAAGCCACCATCACCCTGATACCAAAACCAGAAAAAGATATCACAAAATAAGAAAATTACAGACCAATATCACTGATGAACATAGATGCAAAAATCCTGAACAGAGTACTAGCAAACAGAATCCAACAACACATTAAAAGCATCATACATCATGATCAAGTGGGATTTATCCCAGGGATACAAGGATTCTTCAATATACGCAAATCAATCAATGTGATATACCACATTAACAAATTAAGGAATAAAAACCATATGATCATCTCAACAGATGGAGAAAAAGCTTTTGACAAAATTCAACACCCATTTATGATAAAAACTCTCCAGAAAGTGGGCATAGAGGGAACCTACCTCAACATAATAAAGGCCATATACGTCAAACCCACAGCAAGCATCATACTCAATGGTGAAAAACTGAAAGCATTTCCACTAAGATCAGGAACAAGACAAGGATGTCTACTCTCGCCACTCTTATTCAACATAGTTTTAGAAGTCCTAGCCACGGCATTCAGAGAAGAAAAAGAAATAAAAAGAATACAAATTGGAAAAGAAGTAAAACTGTCACTTTTTGCAGATAACATAATACTATACATAGAAAATCCTGAAGATGCCACCAGAAACCTACTAGAACTAATCAGTGAATTTGGTAAGGTTGCAGGATACAAATTAATGCACAGAAATCTCTGGCATTCCTATACATCAACAATGAAAAATCAGGAAGAGAAATTAAGGAAATAATCCCATTTACCATCACAGTAAAAAGAATAAAATACCTAGGAATAAACCTGCCTAAAGAAGTAAAAGACTAGTACTCAGAAAACTATAAAACACTGATAAAAGAAATCAAAGATGACATAAACAGATGGAGAAATATGCCATGTTCTTGGATTGGAAGAATCAACATTGTGAAAATGACTATACTACCCAAAGCAATCTACAGATTCAATGCAATCCTTATCAAACTACCAATGGCATTCTTCACAGAATTAGAACAAAAAATTTTACAATTTGTATGGAAATACAAAAGGCCCCGAATAGCCAAAGCAATCTTGAGGAAGAAAAACGTAGTTGGAAGAATCAGGCTCCCTGACTTCAAACTATACCACAAAGCTACAGTAATCAAGACAGTATGGTACTGGCACAAAAACAGAAATATAGATCAATGGTACAGGATAGAAAGTCCAGAGATAAACCAAAACACATATGATCACCTAATTTACAACAAAGGAGGCAAGAACATACAATGGAGAAAAGACAGTCTCTTCAATGAGTGGTGCTGGGAAAACTGGACAGCTACATGTAAAAGAATGAAATTAGAACACTACATAACACCACACACAAAAATAAACTCCAAATGAATTAAAGACCTAGATGTAAGACCAGGCACTATAAAACTCTTAAAGGAAAATATAGGGAAAACACTCTTTGATATAAACTACAGCAAGATCGTTTTTGACCCACCTCCTAGAGTAACGGAAATAAAAGCAAAAATAAACAAATGGGAGTTAATTAAACTTAAAAGCTTTTGCACATCAAAGGAAACCATAAACAAGACAAAAAGACAACCCTCAGAACAGGAGAAAATATTTGCAAATGAAACAACAGGCAAAGGATTAATCTCAAAAATATACAAACAGCTCATGGAGTTCAATATCAAAAAACCCCCAAATAATCCAATTAAAAAATGGGTGGAAGACCTAAATAGACATTTCACTAAGGAAGACATACAAATAGCCAAGAGGCACATGAAAAGATGCTCAACATCATTAATTATTAGAGAAATGCAAATCAAAAATCAAAACAATGAGATATCACCTCATACCAGTCAGAACTGCCATTATCAAAAAATCTAGAAACAATAAATGCTGGAAAGGGAACCCTCCTGCACTGTTGGTCGGAATGTAAATTGATACAACCACTATGGAGAACAGTGTGGAGGTTCTTTAAGAAACTAAAAATAACTACCATATGACCAAGCAATACCACTACTGGACATATACCTGAGAAAACCATAATTCAAAAAGAGACATGCACCACAATGTTCATTGCAGCACTATTTACAATAGCCAAGACATGGAAGCAACCTAAATGTCCATCAACAGATGAATGGCTAAAGAAGATGTGGCACATATATACAATGGAATATTACTCAGCCATAAAAAGGAAACGAAATTGAGTTATTTGTAATGAGGTGGATGGACGTAGAGTCTGTCATACAGAGTGAAGTAAGTCAGAAAGAGAAAAACAAATACCGTATGCTAACACATATATATGGACTCTTAAAAAAAAAGTACTGATGAACCTAGTTGCAGGGCAGGAATAAAGATGTAGACATAGAGAATGGCCTTGAGGACACAGGTAGGAGGGGGAATCTGGGGTGAACTGAGAGTAGCATTGACATATATACACTACTGAATGTAAAATAGTTAGTTAGTGGGAAGCAGCAGCATAGCACAGGGAGATCAGCTTGGTGCTTTACGATGACCTAAAGGGGTGGCATAGAGATGATGGGAGGGAGGCTCAAGAGGGAGGGGATATGGGGACATATGTATGCATATGTCTGATTCACCTTGGTGTACAACAGAAACTAACACAGTATTGTGAAGCAATTATATTCCTATAAAGATCTATTTAAAAAAAAAAACCACAATGAGACACCACCACCTTATACCCATTAAGACGGCTCTTATCAAAACAAAAAACAAAAAAAAAAGACAAAAAAAAACACGGAAAACAACAAGTGTTGGTGAGGATGTAGAAAAATTTGAACCCTTGTGCATTGCTGGTGAGAATGGAAAATGGTGCAGCCACCATGGAAAATATGGTGGTTCCTTAAAAAATTAAACATAGAATTTCCATTTAATCCAGCAATTCCACTTCTATGTATATACACAAAAGAAGTGAAAGCACAGACTCAAACAGATATTTGAACACTAATGTTCACAGCAGCATTATTCACACTAGTGAAAAGTGGAAGTAACTCAAGTGTTTATAAAGAGATGAATGGATAAACAAAAAGTAGAATATACATACGATGGAATGTTATGCAGCCTTAGAAAGGAATGAAATTCTGACACTTAACACAACATGTCTTGAAGACATCATGCTAAGTGAAATAGACCAGACACAAAAGGACAATATATATTGTATGAATGCACTTATATGAGGTACCCAGAGTAGTCAAATTCAGAGATAGAAAGTAGACTAAAATTTTCCAGGGGTTAGGGGTAGGTGGTAATAGGAAATTATTGTTTTATGGGTATAAAGTTTCAGTTTGGGATGATGAGAAAGTTCTGGAGATGAATAATGGTGATGGTTGCACAACAATGTGAAAGTACTTAATGCCACTAATATGTACAGTTAAAATGGGTAAAATTTTATGTTGTGTATATTTTACCACAATTAAAAATATAAAATTTTTAAAATTATTTGTTGAAAGATTTGAATGAATGTTTTTTCCTTTTTGTTGCAATTGCCAGGAATTTTAATATTAAATGAAATAAATTATGACTATGATTCCTTCTTTTCATAATTGTGATTTTCTATTTTGATGATCATTCTAGACAGATAACTCATTATAGATCTTTTTGGTAAGCAGGCATGACTATAGATTTTTAGAATATGAATAAAAAACAAAGGGAAAAGAAGCCATTTTGTTTTCAACCCAGTGGATAACTCCTGCTTTGGAATTCTACAGATCTTTGTTCACACCTTCATTATGTCACTGCATACATCTCATGGTAATTTGTTCCTTTTTCTGTTTTTCTCAATAGTCTATATGCTGAAGGCAGGCTACGTCTTAGTCAATCTTATGTCACCCAAGTTTAGCAAATTTACTGGCATCATCAATAATTAATTAAGGAATGTGTCTTATCCTGAGATACAAGGATTCTAATTCAGAATGTTGGCTGAGAGAATAATTTGGTGGCACAGCAATTGAGGGAGATTGCTGATTAATTTCAACATTTTCCAAAAACTAAGAGGTGAGTTTAACTGCAAGGAAAAGGGGAGCAGACCTGGGGTCAGGGATTTGAAGGGCATACATGCCATGTCTTTAAAGTAATCCTTACTTTCTGTGCCATCTGCTTCCACTTGCTCTTCTCTGGGCTTCTGTTTAAATTTCATGTTTCTGAAGTGCAGGATGGCTCCAGTGAGTTTGTAGGATCCGTACTTCTCATCAGGAAGAAAGCCCAAAATGTCCATGGCTTGCTGTAAAAAGAGAAGCAGATGGCCAAGTCTTCAGTTGCCTAATGGCTGCAGTAAGCACCTCACCCCCGCTGTGTGTCACACCTCCCTCCACTCAGTGGGCTGTGGGCTGCCAGGAGACAGATCACCACAGCCCTGAAGTGAAGTGTGACAGCTCTGCTCAAAGCAATGCAAATTGGCCCTGTTGGTGCTTGGTCACCCACAGTCTGCTTATCCCTTTAAAAGAGAATTAGGAAGGCTTATGACTTGACTTGTTTAATTTCCAGTAGTTTTAGAACTTTCCGCGGCTGCCCTGACCCCCTCCTCTCCTTTCCAATAATCTATCATTAACTGGCTATATGAGCTAAATTATTTTGCCTTTCATGGTTATGGAAGAAAGTAGCACCATATCTGATAGGTTGCTTATTTCTGGGATCCCATATGTTCTCCCAGCTTTATTCCAGATACATTTTAAAGACTGGCAAAAGGAAGTATTTAAGAAAAGAAAAACCATGTCACCAAAGAACAGCATCCTAGGAAGCCACTGCACATGGTAAGAAGTGTGTTCTCACACACTCCAGGAGGATAGAAATCGGTACAATCTTTCTAGTGTTTAATTTAGAATATGTATCAAGAGACTATAAAAAATTCATAATCCTACCTAGTAATTTCACTTTTAGGAATCTAGCATACGGTGACTCTGATATATAGAAAAAGCACTCACCTACAAAGACATTCACCACAGTAGGAAAAAAAAAAAACACAATCTTGAGTCTAACAGTAGGAGAATGATTAAATAAACTATAGGATTAATGTCTGATAAAATATTAAGTATCCATTTAAGTGTTTATGAAGTCTTTAATAACATTAACAATGCTTAAGAATAATCAAAAAAGCAAAGTATATATCACATAGCATATGTAGTATGATTATAATCTTTGATTTTAAAAAAACCACCAAAACAACTATGTAACAACAATCTCAAATAGAAAAAAATAAAGACTAAAAACAATGGTTGTCACTGAGTTGAAGCATCTTCCTACTTTTCCATATGTACCGAAGTCACTATATTGACAAAATAAATAAGTATAAAACTTTGGACAGAAACCGTCCTGGAGGGGCTCCTTCCACTCTCCACCCCCAGGGGAAGGAAGGTCACTTCTCCAGGACCCTTTGGAAGAGAGGAGATCTATGATGCTTTCTTTCATTTCTCATTGTCATTACCATACTTTGATAGCTAACAAGCCTTACATCTGTGGCCAGCAATTCTTCAGCATCATCTGAGCTCTCCAGAGCAACTGCTCCATGAGAGCAAAAGTGAAAGTCAGAGGGATTTTCAGACACAAGGAGCATATCTGCAGTGGGAAAACCATCAGTTAAACAGCTTAAAGAAATCCACAAGGCTTTAGAAAATAAGTGACCAATATTCACAGTTTACTTTTACGGCTTACAGCATACTTGTAAACAAGCCAAAATAAAATCCATAGTCTACACCCAAACCTCTGCAATCAATTTCTGCCCTCTATTAACTTGTCAGTCATGTGTTAATGCCTCCCAAGAGAAGACTAGGCAGGCCAAATCTGAAAGCAGATTCAATTGCAGCAGCTTGAATTGATGTGCAAAAAAAACAGATACTGCATGTTGGCAAAACTTTGAAAACAGGAATTTGGCCTAGATACGTGGTTGAGGGTCAGAGGACAAAAAGTGGTTTGTAAATTATAACAGGCCTGAGCTTCAAAAGCAGGCCGACCCTGGGGTCAGCACCCAGGGAACATTAGCAGTGTCATCCTGTCACATCACGTCCTCCCTATTAGGAGGCTGAGTCTGTCTTTCAAGGGATCCGTAAATCAGCTACTGTGTTCAGTGCTGCACCTCTGATATGTCTAAGACTCCTCACATGATTCACTTAGTCAGGAAGCATAATGCAAGCTGAAGCCAAGGCAAGCTGTCAGCAGCACATCTGCCACCGACGTGGCCAAATCACATTAACCTCTTAAAGCCTGACACTCGCTCCCAGTGAAGTTTTTTGAGCCAATCTGAGTTTTGTTTAGCACTCAATGAAGTGAGGCTCTATTATCCTGAACCCCAAATCTCAGAAACAAAGAAATTGGGCTACGTGAATGTTCATAGCAGCTCTATTTGGAAACAACCCAGATGTCCATCAGTAATTAACAGAACATTGTCTAGCCACACAATGGATTATTATTACTTAGCAAACAAACGAATGAACTATGAATATGTGCTACAACATGGAAGGATCTCAAAATAATTATGCTGAGTGAAATAAGCCAGAAAAAGAAGAGTATATACTGCGTGATTCCATCTTACAAAATTCTAGAAATGCAATCTAATCTATAGATTGCAGAGACCATATTAGTGACAGAAAACATATTAGTGGTTGTCTAGAGACTGGGTTAGAAGAGGAGGGCTTGAGGGTGTGAGGATGGGCAGGAGGGAGGGATTACAAGAGATAACGAGAAAACTTTTGAATGGATACCTACATTATTTTGATTGTGGTGATGGTTTCACTTCATATATACACATGTCAATACTTACACTTAGGTCAATAATACTTTGATAAAGCTATTTGATAAAAGTAATTGGGCTAGCCCAAAAGAAATCAGGCTGAATGCAAGGACAATATATAACTTAAATAGAAATATAATTCATAATAATTTTTTTAAGTATTTACTTCAATGGTGATTCAAATGTCCCTGAAATGTTACTACTTCTCAGGAATCTCCTTATATTCTTCCTTATGCTTCACTTCATATTAACAAATATTTGTTTGAGATCCAATAATATGCCAGGCATTATTGTAAGTTTTAGGGATACATCAGTGAAAAAAAATCCCATTCCTGCCCTCATAAAGCTTATATTCCAACAGGAGGAGACAGAAGTAAAAAAATAATAATAATGAGTAAAATATATGACATGTAAGATAGTAATTGCTATGGAGATAAATAAAAGCAGGGAGAGGGAGTAAAATGTGTTGGAGATGCAGAGTTGCAGTTTTTAATAGGGTGATCAGGGAAGGCCTCCACAAGTCAAGTTTGAGTTATGGGAGAGAATCATGGATAAGTAGGGAAAGAATGTTCCAGAAAGAAAAAAGCCAATGCAAAGGCCCTGGGGTGGAAGGTTGCCTGGGATTTTGAGTTGCTATAGTTGGTCAAAGAAGGGGTAGATCATGAGGTCAGAGAGGCATCAAGAGTGCCTCACAGGCTATGTTGAGGATTTGGGCATTTCTGCTCTATGTGAGATATGAAGCCATTACAGGTTTTTGAGCAGAGGAGTGACATGATCTGATTTTTTTTTTTAATTTACTATGGCTGCTGGTTAAAGACAGAGGGACAGGGTGGGAGCAGGGATACCAGGAAAGGGTTAATTCAGGAGGGAGATGGTGATACTTGACTGGGAGAATAACAACAGACATGGTGAGAAGTAGCCAGAGCTTGGGTTTTGAAAGTAGAGTCAATAGGATTTGCTGATGGAACAAATGAGAATAATGTGGGAGGAAGGCTGATCAAGGAGAACTCCAAGGGTTTGTGCCCAGGCAGGTGGAAGGATGGAGATGACTTCAGCCTACCTGGGAAACACTGTGGTAGGAGCAGGTCTTGCGGGGTGGAGTTTAGGAACTAGGCTGTAGGGATATGAAGTTTGAGATGCCTATTCAACATCCAAGTGGAGACATAAAAGAGTCAGTTAGCTATCAGTCTGAAATACTAAAGAAAAGTCCGGACTCATGATCCAACTTTGCAAGTCATCAGATAGAAATGATCTTTAAAGCGGTCAGCCTAGATGATCTATCACCACAAGATAGAGCCAAGGACTGAGCCCCAGGGTACTCTGAAGTCATGGACTGGATGAAGGAGAGAAACCTGCAAAGCTATGCCCAGAGATTTAGGAGAGAAACAAGGGAGGGTGGTCTACTAGAAGCCAAGGTGGGGAGATTTTCAAGGAAGAGGGAGTCAGCAGGGGTATCAAATACTGTCCCGACTGTATACTGTCAATAATCTCTCTATATATTCTTTTGCAAGGTTCATTCATGACTTTACTGATGACTCTCAAATCTACATTTATTTTCTGAGCTCCAGACCTAGTCTCCAACTTCCCATTGGACATTTCAATGTGGATGGCCATAGGTAGCTTAAACCCAACATTAACACAACCAGATGGATGATGTTTTCCTTATCTTCCCTGAAGGTATTCCTCTTCTGTGGTTCCTTATGCCAGTGAATGTCACCACCACACCCAGGCCAGATATCTGGGTGTGACAATGTCCTGTCCCTTCACCTCCTTCACAGCTCAGATACAGACATCATCTCCATTTCTTTCAAATCAAAGCATTTGTTTAATCTTTTTTCTCTACCATAGGTATATGCTATGGGAGGATGTAAGGATACAAAACTAAAATAGTCCTTTCCCTCGAGGAGGCTGGAGGAACCACACACCTAAACAGGAAACACTGCCGTGTGTCTTTAGGGGGTGGGGCATGTTTCAGTGGCTGACTCGTTAAAAAAAAAATTTACTTTCCAAGATTGCTTTGCCATGAATTACCTGTTAGATCATTCTAGATCAACCTTTCATAGAATTTTCATTTTACTCTCATGCTTATTATGTCATTTTTGATCATTTTCATCCTGGTCATGATGATCAAATGTGCTATATCTGACATTATTTTCTGCATGTTAAATATAGGAAAATGGAAGGCTAGAAAGGCTCACTACTTGCCCAGGGCCAAATTAATGATAAAACGGACATTATTTTCTGCATGTTAAATATAGGAAAATGGAAGGCTAGAAAGGCTCACTACTTGCCCAGGGTCAAATTAATGATAAAACGAACTTAGAACACAATCTCTAGTGTTTCTGTTAGACTACGCCACCCACAACTGAAACCTGTATGAGTAAACATGACGGGATTCCATTTCCTCCTTTGTCATAGACAGAAGCAGGGTCTTACTTCTGTGCAAGCTCAACATCGGACAAACACAGAGGGAGACAGAGCAGGGGGCAAGAACGCCACATGCTCAAGGACTAGAGGACCAGGTGGAGGGAAAGAGCCAAGATTCAGGAGGGGGCTGGTAATAAGACAGAATGGTGAGCCCAAGTGCTATATATGCATTTCTCCCTCAGCCCCTCCCCGCTTCCAGATGCCTCATTTCTGGACGTCCCTCAGCACACGCGATAGACTTTCCTGCCATCCCCTTACAACCAGAAACATGGCTGCCGCAATGGTAACCATTCACTGGAGCAGCTGCCCTCAGCATGAAGTGGGGGCTTCAGAGAATGCTGAGGCCAGAAGCATGACTGTTTGAGGAACTCTGAAAGGCCTTTAGATCAAACATCTCCCCTGCCCTGGGTCTTATCAAAACTTATTTTCAAGGAACAGTAAATTTTAATTGGTTTGAGGCTTGAGGTTATCTCAGAGGAGTATCATGTAAACGGGGATTCCTTTATTTAGTTAATTTCTTTCTACCGCAGGAAATGGCCTTAAGAGAATAAGAAAAAGAACTAAATGCATTTTTATGAGACACTATTAGAGTCAGAGAGACTGTCTAGGCCAGTAAGGGCCCACACGGAAGATTGTTGACCAGGCTGGGGCACCTGGAGGATGGGAGGAGGCAGGCGGGGACAGGGAGTGTGTCATGAAGGATGGGGGTAGGGCAGAAAGAGAAGGGGTGAGGGGATGCTAAAGGTAAAAGTCAACTGCTTCACAATTCCAAAAAGTGCAGGTGTCAACCATTATATAGGTTCATTTCTAGGGCCCACTCTCCAGTAGGAGATGCAGAGAACCCATTAAGGGTGAGTGTTTTATCATTCAAGACTTTGTTTCAGACACAGACCTACTAGAGAATGGACTTAGGGATATGGGGAGGGGGAAGGGTGAGCTGTGACAGAGCGAGGGAGAGGCATGGACATATATACACAACCAGGCGTGGGGTAGGTAGCTAGTGGGAAATAGCTGCATAGCACAGGGAGATCAGCTCAGTGCTTTGTGACAGCCTGGAGGGGTGGGTTGGGGAGGGTGGGAGGAAAGAGATATGGGAACGTATGTATATGTATGGCTGATTCACTTTGTTATAAAGCAGAAACTAACACACAGTTGTAAAGCAATTATACTCCAATAAAGATGTTAAAAAAAAAAAAGGGCTTTGTTTCATGTCATCCTGACTTAAATTTTACTTTCTGAATGGCTGAATGTTCTCCAGGACTGTGCTCACTATGAAAAGGAGTGAAGCTGACACTGAGCCAAAAATAAACAGTTTAGGATCTCACAAATGAAGTTCTGTAGCTAGTGCCCCTATGCCACATTACCCGTCATTACCTGTTCCTCAGTGGTGCCGTGTACAGCTGAAGAGGTTGTGCACTGCCCAACTCCAGAGAGAATCATTCACATAGTCTATGGTTTGAATTGCATTCTCTGGAGTTGGGAAGCACACAGTCTGCACAACCATACACACATCTTATGCCGCTTAATAACCAGTGGGGAGAAAGTGAGTAAAGATATGAGACTAGTTCAAGAGAGACCTAATGGGTAAAGAGGATAAACTGAATATGCTCCAGAATAGGAGGTCCAGATGCTGACCACTTCCCTCCCCAGAGGCATTCAGGGCACCAGTAGACATTCTCAGGCGCACCTCTTGGCAACCACCACTGTGTATTACTGTCACTTTATGGAGTGAGTTCTCAGGGCATTAGGCAAAGTGTCAAGGATTCTAAGAGTCAAGGACTTGTTTCCTGACCTCCTCTCCTGAAGTTTACACACCACTTGAATAGCAAGAGTGAGCACGATAAATAAATATAAAGAAAAAAATCAAATAAAAGAAGAGAAAAAGGAAGATATATGCCAGACCAAGATATACAGATGATGTTGAGAACTAAAGGATTTCAAGGAGCCTTATCTGAAGGGACTGGGGAAGTGGGTTCTAGCTGTACCTGGAACAAGAATCAGCCTTAACTGAAAGGAAAGGGGAGATGAGATCTTCCAGGCCAGGTAGAGGCTAAATGAGGACTGGCTCTGGGGTGACACATCACTCCATTTCCTTGGCTCCTTGAGTGGGTGGCCAGCCTCTGCTGTCATTTTTCACACCTGATTCGTTTGTCATGCACAAATGCTCCTATTTTTGGAAATTTGGACACAGTCCTCATACTGCTTAGCTGTGCTCTCTTGTGTCACTCCTCAGGACACTCTAAAGCTCTTCTTTGGCAGCCATGAATAGAAAGAGTTTAAAATTTTTAAATACCCCAAGAATGACAATTGGTGTCATAAACAAATGAACTGACAATACCCAACTTTCACCACCAGATGTCAGCCTTTGTACACTAATCAATTTCAGCAGCCCACAGACTGAACAAAGTACATGAATTCATGATAAGCATGAATTTTCCATAGCAGCCCAGAGTCTTCAGATGGTTCTATGAGTAAACAGAGATGGTCCAAAAAAATCTTGCAGTCACTGCTGGCACTCACATTGGACCCTATGTGTCAGATACCCTGCACAGCATAGAAATGAGTGTCAAGAATGTTAGATTTGGCAGGGCTAGTCAAAGGAAGACCAAAACAAAAAAGAAAACAAAAACAATCTGTTCCAGGGTTATGTAGAGAGAAGGTGGGAAAGAGAGTAGATGCTGCTTTCGTATCACCAACTGCACCCGTGGCAAAAATAACTGTCCAGTTTGTAGAGCTTTCTCCTTTTGGAGAGAAGAGTTTGGAGTTGAAGACCATGTAGTCAAAACGCTGCTGGATTTATACCATACGTCATCTAAGCATAATGGGCTGTGGGGGATTCTTCCCCATCAATCTGCTCACCTGGATCTCCAATCTCATCCCACAGTCACTCCTGTGGGAGTACTGTTGTCCCCAGTGACAGATGCAATACCTTTGAAATCCAATCAGCTTGTCAATCTCCCCTTCCAATGACTTTCCATAGCACTCGAGATGTAAATTCTCATCATAACCTGCAAGGTGCTGCTTGGTCTGACCCAGCCTATCTGCCCGTACATTACCCCCTCCATCCCTCCATTCTGCCCCCGACGATGGCCATTGTTCTATTCCAAGAATAAACCAAATGCATTCCTGCGTCAGGGCCTTTGCACTCACTGTTACTTCCTCCTGGAAATTTCTTCCTAGAAATCTTTGCCTACTTGTTCCCTTACTCATTCAGGTGTCTGGAAAAACATTGCCTTCTTCTTCCCCCCCACCCCCCTCGCCAAGAAGCTTTCAGGATCTTAGTTCCTTAGTTCCCTGACCGGGGATCAAACTCCGGGCCCCTGCAGTAGGAACATCAAGTCCTAACCACTGGACAGCCAGGGGATTCCCAAAACATTGCCTTCTTAGAGAGGTCTTATCTGGATCTTCTATCTAAAATATAACCTCCTGGGGAGTTCCCTGGTGGCCTAGTGGCTAGGATTCCAGGCTTTCACTGCCGTGTTGCCTGGGTTCAATCCCTGGCCAGGGAACCGAGATCCTACAAGCTGTGTGGTGCAGCCAAAAAAATTAAAATAAAATAAAATAAAATAGCAAAGGAAACATAAACAAGACGAAAAGACAACCCTCAGAATGGGAGAAGATATTTGCAAATGAAGCAACTGACAAAGGATTAATCTCCAAAATTTACAAGCAGCTCATGCAGCTCAATATCAAAAAAACAAACAACCCAATACAAAAATGGGCAGAAGACCTAAATAGATATTTCTCCAAAGAAGACATACAGATTGCCAGCAAACACATGAAAGAATGGTCAACATCACTAATCATTAGAGAAATGCAAATCAAAACCACAATGAGGTATCACCTCACACCAGTCAGAATGGCCATCATCAAAACATCTACAAACAGTAAATGCTGGAGAGGGTGTGGAGAAAAGGGAACCCTCTTGCACTGTTGGTGGGAATGTAAATTGATACAGCCACTATGGAGAACAGTGTGGAGGTTCCTTATAAAACTAAAAATAGAACTACCATATGACCCAGCAATCCCACTACTGGGCATATACTCTGAGAAATCCATAATTCAAAAAGAGTCATGTACCACAATGTTCACTGCATCTCTATTTACAATAGCCAGGATATGGAAGCAACCTAAGTGTCTATTGACAGATGAATGGATAAAGAAGATGTGGCACATATATGCAATGGAATATTACTCAGCCATAAAAAGAAATGAAATTGAGTTATTTGTAGTGAGGTGGGTGGACTTAGAGTCTGTCATACAGAGTGAAGTAAGTCAGAAAGAGAAAAACAAATACCGTATGCTAACACATATATATGAAATCTAAACAAAAATTTTAAATGGTTCTAAAGAACCTAGGGGCAGGACAGGAATAAAGATTCAGACATAGAGAATGGACTTGAGGATACGGGGAAGGGGAAGGGTAAGCTGGGACGAAGTGAGAGAGTGGCATGGACATATATACACTACCAAATGTAAAATAGATAGCTAGTGGGAAGCAGCCGCATAGCACAGGGAGATCAGCTCGGTGCTTTGTGACCACCTAGTGGGGTGGGAGGGAGGGAGACGCAAGAGGGAAGAGATATGGGAACATATGTATACGTATAGCTGATTCACCTTGTTATAAAGCAGAAACTAACATACCATTGTAAAGCAATTATACTCCAATAAAGATTTTAAAAAAATAAAATAACATCATCCAAACCCCATTTCACTGCATCTCCTCACCCACTTTATTATTCTCTATAGACCTACCATTCTCTGGAATTATATATTTCTTTGTTTACTTGTTTGTTACCCTCTTCCATACTAGAATGTAAGCTCACGAGGGCAGGGACCTGTGGGTCTTGTTTACTTCTCTATCCTCCATGCTTAAAAAGCAGTGTATACACAGCAGCCCCACAATAAATATTTGTTGAGTGAATACAGGAAATTCGTTCTCTTACCCTACAAGTTGCTTTTCCATTTCTGTTCATGGCACTACTTTTATCCCAGTCAAATTACCAAACCTGGGAGTATTTTTGACTCAACACTTTCCCTCATTTCTACATTTTATCATTGCCTAGACTTTTCTATTCTTCCATGAGTCCATCCCCTTGCCCTCTATTCCCACAGACAGTGCCTTAGACAATTGTCTTGTCATCTCATCCTGGGACTACTGCAATCACTTCCCTCGGTATTTCTGCCTCCAGTCTATCCTGCCCATCACACCAGCCTAACTGCCACTGCCCTCAACAAATCACGACCTCCTATTACCCCATCCCGCCCCACAAAACACAGGAACACATACACATACACACACTCACACACACACATGCACACAACACCCTCCCAACTTCCTGAGTTCAGACCCCATCAGAATAAAATCTCTACTATTCCTCTATGAAAAGCCTTTCCTCCAGTTCATCTGGTCTCTCTGTTCCCTGATCTTGCCTTACCTTTTCCTGACATTGTGTACACTGTTCCTCTTACCGGAAATACCCTCCACACATTACTCTGGTTACATCCCCTTCCCATTCTCCATATCCCAACCCAAGTCCTCCTTTCTTTATAAAACTCCCATTAACCACTAAACACTATGGTGATGTCTCCCACCTCTGGCCTCTTGTCTCTAGCACCCACTTAAATGATTAGTGGTTTTAATCATTTAAGTCTTTAAAATTATCTAGTGCTTTTTACACACACCCACACCCACACATACACACGCACAAGCATGTGTGCAGACATGCATACACACACATTCATTTACCTCTGCTGGGCATCCTACCCACCTCCAAATACTACCAAATTGAAACAAAGTGTTACCATTTACTCTCTACCCATGTAAAATTATAGAACACTGGTTCTATAACTGGTTCAATTTCTTAAGTTTTAGGATGAACAAACTGAGTCCTAAAGAGGCTAGGAGACATTAAACAGCACTTTTCCAGTTCCAGTAATCTGACTATTGTCTCTTGTTTTAGAATGAACTTCAGCTCCAGAATAATACACTTACCATGAAGTTCTTTTTTCCCAGACAGAATTTGATAGAATATATGGTAGTTCCTCTCTCCAGGCTGCTGGAAAACAACCCAGGATTTTTCAAGCAAATCTGCATGATGAGACATGAGTAAAGATTCAAACGTAGGTGTAGAAGAAAAGTAATTAGACAGTGCTATGGCTACTTACAGATGTCGATGTCTGCAGATGACAGCTTGCCTCTGGCACAAAAGTGCATCCCGATGAACTGGCCCTGGGTGGACACAGAACACAGTCTCCTATTGAAACATTCCAAGCAGTTGCAATGGCTTCATTACACACATCACTCCCAAAGTGACTACTTGCCCCAAAGTTAAAAAAATGCAACACGGGTCTGTGATGGCACCAATTAATGTCGAGAGGCAGCTGGAGTGTCATCAGGACGAGCAGTGGTCCTGGAGTCTAGCCTCAGACCTGCTCATTGCTGGCTGTGTCTTCTGTTTCTCTTCTTCTTATTATTTTTTTTATTGAAGTGCAGTTGATTTAAAATGTACTAGTTCAGGTATACAGCAAAGTGATTCAGTTATACATACATATGTGTGTGTGTGTGTGTGTGTGTGTATGTGTGTGTGTGTGTATTCTTTTTCAGATTCTTTTCCATTACAGCTCACTACAAGACACTGAGTATAGTCCCCTGTGCTATACAGTAGGTCCCCATTCATTATCTATTTTATATATAGTTATGCGTATATATCAACCCCAAACTCCTAATTTATCCCCTCCTCCTTGGCTGTTCATTCTTGCGTGCATTATAGAATCTCTCTGGGCCTCAGTGTTCTTATCTAAAAGTGAGAAAAATAATATCTGCTTGGCGTATTATTCCATTTATTAAACAGACATTCGTTGAGCATCTGCTATGATCCAGAAAACCTGCTAGGCACTGGAGATACCACATTAGAAAAGTAGGTGTGTTCATGGCTCTTCTAGATTCTAGGTGTAAGCAGCTAATGTAACAGCTCTAATGTAGGAACATTTGGTGTGTTTTGAAATCAAAAGAAAAGGCAGTTGTGCAGGAGTGTAGCAAGTAAGACAAAAGGGCACAGAAAATGGAGTCTGAGGCAGGCCTGTCAATGAAAAGCCATAAGATAGGATCTAGTGGGGCAGAGAATCTGCCCAGAAGTGACAGAGCCCAGGTGCATCAAGAAGCAGCCAAGGAGGCAGTCCAGGGGGTTAGAGCCCGCAGGACGAGGATGTTAGTACAGAGGGGAAGGCAGACTGGTAGACGTATACCCATGCAAGGAAGGAATCAGACCAGGACTGCAGCCAGGCAAGAGAAGGAGAGTGGCCAATACAAGGTGATTACGCCATTAAGTTAAAAAATGCAGGGCTTCCCTGGTGGCGCAGTGGTTGAGAGTCTGCCTGCCGATGCAGGGGACACGGGTTCGTGCCCCGGTCCGGGAAGATCCCACATGCTGTGGAGTGGCTGGGCCCGTGAGCCATGGCCGCTGAGCCTGCACGGCCGGAGCCTGTGCTCCGCAACGGGAGAGGCCACAACAGTGAGAGGCCCGCGTACCGAAAAAAAAAAAAAATGCAGGCTACTGGGAGTCACACACACAAACATACACATGTATATATATACACATATATATACACATATATATACACATATGTGTACCTCTATGCATATGTACATTTACATATAAATATGTGTATTGTCAACTGAAAAAAATGCACAACCTAAAAGTTGAGAATTATGTTTATTCGGTGGACGTTCTGAGGACTTAAGCCCAGACGACAGCCTCTCAGGTAGCTCTGAGGGACTGCTCTGCAGAGGTAAGGGAGGTCCCTGGATATATAGGAGTTTTTGCAACGGAAACCAGGTAGTCAGAACATCAAAAGATTACTGCTAATTAAAGAAAATCAGACATCTCAAGTTAAAGAATTTAGTGCTTTTCGATGTATGGGAAGATGCAAGAGTCTGGCTCATTGAAATTGCCCCTTTGATATGCACCTTAACTATCTAGGGCCAATATCTTGCTTTTCTCCAACCTGAATCCCCTCAGGGTGCACAGTGGTGGGGTAGGGGGCGACTACAGTGGCTGATGGCTTGATGGCTGCAACATCCTTTTTTACTGATATGGCAGGTGACATTCTTTGTGCATAGTATACATACAGAGTATTAATCGAAAGAATTTAACCTGCATTTCTTGATTTTCTGAACCTTCTTTCCTTCTCCCTTCTTTCCTTCCTTCTTTCCATTCATCCATTTTGTTTACTTTGCTTTTCTACTTCTTTATTCCCTTCTATCCTTCCAACTTTTTTCTTGTTCTTTTTCAGTTGCTTTCTTTCCTTATTTATGTTTCTTTCTACTTACCGTTCTTTTCTTTCTTCCTTTTCTTTTACTCTCTTCCCTTTCCTTTATCTTCCTTTTTTCCCTCCCTCTCTTCCATCTTTCCTTTTGCACTCTCGGTTTTTTTCTTTTCAGCTTTCTTTCTTTCATATTTAAGCGGAAACTCCCTCCACATTCTAACAAATCCCCAATCTAGCAGTTGTTTTATTGCCCAGTATTAGTACCCACTATGCAGCCGGACATAGCAAGCAGATATAAGTGTAGTCAGGGCAGCTCTAAGGCTTTGGAGGGAAACCAGCCAAATCAGCAGGAGGCTGTTATGTAATTACGCCTAGAGTCAAACAGGAAGCCTTCTGCAAATGTCCTTGTAAATTATATCGTGGCTCCCTGCCACTCATTCTTGGCATAAAACGGATTAGTGAAGCTTGAGTTTGAAATCCAAATCTTTCTTCTATCAAGGGACTGCTAGTTATCAAAAGCTACTTTAAAAAGTGCTTTCTCCCCGTGCCCCTCCAAAAAATCCTCAGTGAAAAATATGCAGGGGCAGGGGGGCCATAGGCAAGAGTAGAAACAATAATTGTAGTAAGTGAATTTGGAAGTACTTCCTAAAATGACTTATTACAAGGAGTAAGGAAATTATGAAGGAGAAAGTATTTACAGATCTGTAAAATGTACTAAAATATAAAACATTATTAGAATTTGCTGAATGAGCTTCCCTACTGGGAGTATAAAGGAATTTGACACTATTAAGATAAATATTTTCTTCCTGAAATTGACCAAACCGCAGAAGCTTCTCAAGCACATATTTCTATGTATTTTTAATTGTCTTAATGATGAAGCTGGCGGACTTCCTAACAATTTTCCCTAACAATTCCAACTTCCCTAACAATTTTATGAACATTAATCAATAACCTTCTTTGATGTTTTAAAAATTTTTTTGGATCTGTGTGCTCAGGCATGAGTTTTACCATTTGCTAAAAACTAAAGACTCTGATATATTGCTCAATCATGTCACTTACAAAGCGAGAGGAGTTGTCATTTCTCAGGGTTTTGGCATTTCCAAATGCTTCCAAGACAGGATTCACTCATTTGATTTGATTTTGTAGAGTCCCCTGGGATACAGGTAAGAGAAATACAGCTGATGAAACTTTTCCCAGAATTCTGTAATATGGCAAGTCCTCCATGCCCAGGTCAAACCTCATTCTTGTTTTGGTAACCAGTAGCCAAAAACTACTTCCAAATTTGGTGATGAAAGGTTATTTTGGAATGGTAACTCAAAAATAGATGGATGAGGGCTTCCCTGGTGGCACAGTGGTTGAGAGTCCGCCTACCGATGCAGGGGACACGGGTTCGTGCCCCGGTCCAGGAAGATCCCACATGCCGCGGAGCGGCTGGACCCATGAGCCATGGCCGCTGAGCCTGCGTGTCCGGAGACTGTGCTCCGCAACGGGAGAGGCCATAGCAGTGAGAGGCCCGCTGACAGCAAAAAAAAAAAAAAAAAAAATAGATGGATGAAAGATTGACAATATATGATGCCCCATGACTATATGTGGGAGTTCATTTACTTGCAATGCTTCTCTTTTGGTTGGCATTGGCCTGAGTAGGAAAAGAAAACTGGTATTTTACCAAAGTAAACAACAACAACAAATACCATAGCCTATTTCCAAACTTCATTCCATATATTCCCCCTCATTGCTAATCTACCTCTCTTCCCATTCAATCCTCACACCTGGAAATTTATCCAAAAATAATACAGCAGATGCGGCATTATTAAATTACATTTTTGCTTGCTATTATTCCTAAGTAACCTAGAGGTTCATACCAAGCAGTGACTTGAAATGGTATTATTGGTCTTGAATTTGAATCATATTGGCTCAGGCTGATGGGCCAAAGCAGGTCACCTACACTGAGAAAGTCCTAATGACCACTTAGCACCTAAACTGCAACATAGCTTTGTTTTTTTCCAGTCAGCCTCAAAGATACATTTTATGGGGGGCATTTTATAGTATGTGGTATTTAAGAATTTATAGATTTACAAATACTATATTCCTTCTATGTATTATGGGTCTACTGTCCTTTAAAGAAATAAAAGGGCTATATAAGCAAAATTTTTCACAGAACTTTTATGTATTATGTATTGTGTTACATATTATCCTAGGGTTCAATGGTTAGACCAAACAAACAAATGCACACAAAACAACCTAAAATGTACACACAAATGAAGTAATATCTAGTGAATAATAGAATCCAGTGATACCTAGAGAAATCGATCAAATTCAGGAATGTGGTGGTTGGAAAAGAAACTTTCCATGGTGTGGAAATTGGACTAGACTGCTATTTTGATACACTTCTTATCTTGCAAATACAGCAGGAAACATCTAGGATCATACGGAAAAAGCAAAGCAGCAACGCCAGACATAGATGAGAGGCTCCAACAGCTCAGTAACTCATTGATTTTGAGTTTTGCTCAGCATTATCTAATCTTATTTTACATACCAACTCTCATGGTCTAGGTATCCTCAGATTATTACCATCAACCTGTTAATGGAGCTAAACAAAGTAAGCTAAAGCAAAAATTACCAAGGATTAAAATAATTAGAGAAAGAGAGAAGGTAAAGTTTTCAGAACGTAGAATGTGATTGCAGTTGAGTGTACATCCATTGGGCATTTGGGATTTGGTCCAGAAGTTAGTGGTAAAGGAAGCAGAGTTCTTTCTATTGGTACGTATTTGAGGGATTCTGACAGCTCACAGCAGCTAAAGAAATACCACAAAGAAGATATTTCAATATTAAGAAATATCAAAAGTGGCCATTCAAGGCATTGGTAACCCTAGTTTTGGGGGAAGGTGGTTTGGATCTTAAGTAGCTAATTCTCAGAGGGTCCAAGCAACAAAGATCAGGCCAGTAAATACCCCTTGAAGCAGATCTGAAACAAATTATGTAATTTAATGTTTTCGGATTATTGGTTCAGAGTACTTGATGATCCTCCCAAGAGGCAAAGGAAAAATGGGGAAAATGACTTTTCTATAATTTTTTAATTGTTCTGTGGTGCGGTTTCCTCCTTTCTCCCCATAAGTGAACAGGGCAGAGCCTCCATGATTAGCAGATAGGGCCACCCACCTTTTCTGCCAAGATTTATAAACACTTACTGGCTTTTCTTCGGATTCACCCGTGGTTGCTATGGTGGCAAAGTACTGGATAATATGACACAGTTCAATGACACAGCTAACTGGTTGAGATTATAAATGCAATGAAAGATAAATAATTTGAACCATATAAACTAAGGCAAGAGGGAAAGTTTTATAGAAAAGTGGAACTTAAGAGGGAACTTGAAGGAGATGCAGACATTTAGTTGTTTGGGAGAAGGAAAAGGACATCTCAGGCTGGAAAAACATCATGAGCAAAAATCTAGAGTAGGGAAAGATCAAAGACTTTATAAAAATAAGAAGCCTGTTCCTCATGGTCCTGTTAACAAAAAGCTGTAGAGTATCTTTGCTAATTAGAGATAGGTCTCCTCACCACCAACTATTCAAGAGATTGTCACATATGAAGGCTAGCATCACATGGCCAGGTCCCTCGGAAGAGAACCTACCAAACATTCTACCAGGAAGTTGAGCTTTAGATTTCCCTTTTACCTTTGATAATCAGCTAACTTTGTAATGTGGAGAGAACACAACGGTGAATTTATAGCCTCTCACCCAAAGCATCATAGGATCAAGGCCTGCCTTTATCTGCCCGAAACTCCAGAAAATAGTCTATCCTCTCTGCAAAGGGCTGGACTTTAACCACCCTTCTAGCTCTAAGATTCTGAGACCTATTATTTTTCTGGGGATGGCTGAAGCCAATGGACAGCCCAACACATGTGGCAGCATCCTCACTGCATAGAAAGAGCAAGAATTTGAGCATTTGACTGCTTCTAGAGTCCCAGCCTCTCCCCTCAACCACCAGGCTGACAGTTCACCTGGCCAGCCAATGCTCTGCCTATCAAAATTAACATACAATATGGTATCAGTGAAATCCTTTCCATCCTTCTTCTTCACTCCCTTTTCTTGTCCCTCTAAGCCTCACCATGTTTTAGTTCCCACTACTTAATGTACCTTGGCCTGCCCCATTCTGGTTGCTCACAACAGCAAGTTATTTATTCTGTGGTCATACCCACTGGACTTTCAGTCTTTCCGCCCAGTTAGCCAGACCAGAGAACTTTGAAAATGATTATTTGGACAGGGAGCTCTCTTCATCAAGAAAATGATTAAGACCAGCATGTGCACCACAGGTTCCAAAGGATCTTCTAAAATGTGAGGCAGCCTAGCTGGCACCATATTTGGCTAATCACTGACTAAAGTGTTATGACAATTTCCTATCTTACTCTTGCCTAGAATGTATTCGGTACCTAAAGAACAACAATTCAAAGGCAGTGAATTTATGTTTCATAGCCAGTGAAATGTAGGTGTCTGCTTCGATTGAAACACTGCTGGCCAAAAAGAAAAAGCAAGGCAAACACTTCACGTGAAGAGTACAGACTGATTCTTTCGATCTACAAAAGAAAGGAAAATGTCAGATCATTCTTCTATCAGAGCTGCCATGTATTGGCACGAACTTATTCAAAATTTCCTTGGTTACAGTTTGAAGTCAGACACAAGAAGGATTTGCTCTGTATACAGTTAGAAAAAATACCATTTCAATGGTACAAAGTAAAATAGATTTTCTCTTGACTCTATGTAGGCCAGTCATAAGATCATACAAATTCTATCACTCTCTCCTTGCTCCAAATACAAACGGTAAATGACGAATGGTTGACATATCGCTATTTTAAGCCTTTTATTAAGCCTGGTGTAATAATAGCTACAGAATAACCTCTTTGTGCCAGACATTCTAGCAGGTACTTTTTGTAATAAAAGCTGACATCTACAGGGGGCTCACTCTGGGCCAGACACTGGGCTGAGCACTTTCAAGGCATTATCTCACTTAATTTGATATGCGAGCTAATCGTCCCCATAACCCTAGGAGGTAGGCCCTATTTTGCTCACGTTTTATCCAGAAGGAAGCGGAGGCTTCAAGTGATTAGGCAACTATAAAGGCCATGCTCCGCTCACAATGCCTACCTGCCTCTTAGTGACACGGAGAAAAAGGAGATCAGATATTTTTACCCTTCATTTTGTAGGGCAGCCACTTACTGTGCAGCATATCTTGAAAGGCATTATTGGCCACAGCGAAGATGTGAGGGGGAGCCTCTGATCGCCTCTTCCCTTTGTAGATGGCTGCCACTGCTCTGTGTTACTGGAAGCCACTTTTGAGGCTCACACAGGAGAGACCCAAATATATCTGACAGAAGATCAGAAAAGATTTCCAAAAACAGGTTAGGAATACTTCCAGGTTTGTCAGCTCTTTCAATGTCAGGTAACATGTGCTCGAATATTTACTTATAAAGGAACTAAAAGAAAGAGAGCTTTTGGATTCTTGCACAGTAGGGACTTCTGATAGGAAGAGACAGAATCAGGTTAGAGTAACAAGGGGGCCTGGGATTACCTCTCCCCTCGGAGATCTGTCAACCACTAACTTGTCTGACACACACACACACACGCGCGCGCGCACACACACACACACACAACACTTGAAGACAAGGAGGACGCTGACAGAAGCCTTGTTGATTTTGGTAACCCGCTCTCAGGCATTTGAGGCCCAAAGGGAATCTGTGCTTCAGCAAGATTAGGAACCTGATGCTTAAGGCACTGGGGTAATAGCTCATGTGGGTCACTCAAACCGTGGTGGCTGGACTGTGCCTCCCCAAAAGATATGTACACGTCTTAATCTCCAGAACCTGTGAACGGGATCTTATTTGGAAAAAGGATCTTTGCACGTGTAATTAAGGTAAGGACCTCAGGATGATATCTGGATGGGCCTTAAATCCAACAGCTAATCACCGTATAAGAGACACACAGAGGAGAAGGTGATGTGGAGATGGAGGCAAAGATTGGAGTGACGCGGCCACAGGGAATATGCCAAAAGCCACTGGAAACCGGCACAGGTAAGGAATGATTCTCCCCTAGAGGTTCCAGAGGGAGTGTGACTGCTGAGTTTATTTGATCTTGGACTCTGGCCTCTAGAACTGTGACAGAATAAGTTTCTATTGTTTTAAGCCACCCTGTTTGTGGTAATTTTGTTATAGCATCTTAGGGAAACAAAGACAGTCACACCGTAAAACAGAGTGCCCAGGAGCAAGCTGGCTGCATGGCAAGGCTGCTATAGCAATGGGTCCCAAATGCCACCATCTTTGCCTCATCTGCTCAGTGCAGCTCCTGCTGAATAGATTCTGAGTGAATTAAAGAAGCTGAGCAACCAATCATCACCTACTTAATGATGATGAAAAAAAGTTATTCCATTTATTGAGCACTAACTAGGTAACAGGCACTGAACTACATGCTTTACATTCTTTTATTTATCCTCCAAGCTACCATGGAGAGACAGACATTATTATCCCACTTTACAGAGAAGGTGACTTCGAGAAACAGAGGTGGCATTTGGACACGGGTCTATCATGCTCCGAGCCTCATGCCTTTACTTTAGGATGAAAACCTGTGGGAAGGGATATGAATACTGACCAAATAAAATTTGGGAAACGCTAAGATAATGTCCCTTCCTGGTGGGCATTTCTCAAGGATTATTCTCATATGAGTATGCTTAAATTCAATATCTTTTTTACCCAAAAGAGGGCTGGGACATCGCCAATGTGATGCCAGCATTCTGTTTCAGTAGTGAAGCGTATACACGTACATAGATCATCCAATGGTTATAGCGCCTCTTCAGGGCATGCAGCACAGATGCTTCATTGAGGTGAGTCAGCATTGCCATGTCTTCAATCATTTCAAACTCTGGGGGATTCATCTGCTGGATTTCGTCCTCCTTGACACTCAGACTCTGCAGAGAGGAGAAAAATGTAAGATATATTCCCCTATTTCTTCTATGCTCATTCATTTTTGCCATGCATTGGGAAGAATTTTCAAGGAGTTAAGAAAAAGGTGCCTCATTAGAGGATGGAGCCAGAGGAAGTTAAACCAACCTGTTTTTCCCAAGAATTCCTCCGACTCATGTTCTCTCCTTGCCCGAAGATAAAGTTTTTTAAAAGTGGTTTTGTTGAACCAAAATTTTCTAAATTGCAGTGCCCTGATCCTGTGGCTCCTCAGACTGAGATTGCCCCTGAGAGAACACACATTATATTGCTCATGATCTAGCCTGATCTAACCTCCCCTCGGCTCTGATTCTATTTTTCTCTCCTTTCGTTACCAACTTTAAGTATTACTCTCCACCCACTGGCTTTATTGCCTTTGTTAATGTTACAAAGACCAAAGGTGATTGGAAGTGTAGTCACTTCTAACATCAGGAGGAGGAAGCCTGGAGCCAGGGAGATGCTGGCCCCAGAGTGGGGCTGGGGGGAATGGGACCTCCATTAGATGGTGAAAGGTCAAGCAGAACAAAGCCACCCACCTTTAGACTCCTCTTTCTATATCATTAACTTGTTGCTTTCATGTTCTTCTTCCTATGATTTCTTTCATAGTTGTAACCACATTATATTCACAGATCATCATAAATACTGTTAAAAAGACAGCAGTTTTAAAAAATGTGCTTAGAAGAACAAACTTCTCATCTGGAGGCCTAATAAAATTGAACTGGACACAATCAAGAAAGTGAAAAGACAACACACAGACTGGGAGAAAATAATTGAATCCCTTAGTTTCCTTATTTAAGACATTCTGAATTTTTCCCTTGCCTAAATATGTATATTCCTATTGATAAGGACCAAGTTCTGCCCTTAATTCCATTAATTAGTTATATAAAAATCTACCTAACTTGTGATTTTTTAAATGTACAGACACCATCAGAAGGCATATTAAGACACCATAAGTGGTAGTTTTTGAGTGGCCTCCAGAATTTTACAATTCAGATGGCAATGCTTTAGATCATAAATTGTCTAAATACAAAGATAAGGGCATGAAAAAGACAAACTTTCTTGATAATGATCGTACCTGTTTGTTTTAGGATGTGGCTTGTTATGGAGTCGGGAAGGGCAGAATTGGAAGGAGATTGGTGAATTGCATATGGGCAGGAAATGATCTGTAAAATCTATAATGGAGTGTTCATCCAAGTCAGGGCAGAAATAGGGCCCAATTCTCTGCCATGGAGCTGGCAGGCACGTGAGGTCAGTGATGCAAGGCAAAGGTTCTGAGAGTAGGCTGTCTGTACAATATTGCCCTGTTGCTCTGAATACCTTGGTGACAGGCAGAAGGGGTTGGGGACTGTTACAGTCTCACTACACATTCTATGACCTCTCACAGTCTAACTTATGCCCCAACACTTGACCTAAGCTTCTCTTTCAAAGGTCATAGGTGACCACCTAATTCTGAAGTTCAAGGCTCTCTCCAAGCCCTAAATCTCTTTCTCTAGCGTTTGACATTACTGACCATTCTCCCATTTCTTGGTTCCTCTGACACTGTTCTATTTTTATTCAGATTATCCCACTCTTTCCTGATCCTACAAACATAGCTTGCTTCACAGTTCCTAAGGTCATTATTTACTCCAAGAGGCACCTTTAAAAAAGAACTTGAGGGCTTCCCTGGTGGCCCAGTAGTTGACAGTCCGCCTGCCGATGCAGGGGACGCGGGTTTGTGCCCCGGTCTGGGAAGATCCCACACGCTGCGGAGCGGCTGGGCCCGTGAGCCATGGCCACTGAGCCTGCGCGTCCGGAGCCTGTGCTCCGCAACGGGAGAGGCCACAACAGTGAGAGGCCCGCATACCGCAAAAAAAAAAAAAAAAAAAAAAAAAAAAGAACTTGAAATACGATAGAAGAAGTGGAAAAAGTTGTGCATTCTAGAGTCAATGAGCTTTACCACTGGCAGCCGGTTTACTCTGATTCTTCAATGTTCGTCATTACATCTTTGATAGTTAAGTGGAGGAGCTTCTTAAAGATTAATGAGTTTTCTAAAGTGTATCAGTGGCATCTCCTACCCCAGGTTTTTAACAAAACAATTGGAGAAAGGACACACCTAATTATTAAATTAAATAGAGAACTTAGTCACCAATGGGCTGAAATAAAGATTTCTTTACCTTTCCATCTGTTGTCTCAACAATTATACTGTCATCATCTCCACCCCCTTTAATCTCAGCCTCAACATAAGCATTCTTCACATCATGAATCCAGCATTTCTTCTTCCCTACAGAGGGGAGAAAAATGGATATTTAACTACAGTCCCCGTAGGAAACGTACATTGGACACTTTCATACTGATGGACATGGTCTCATTTCTGCTAAGTCTGCTTGTTGACCTGGCGTCACCAATATAGGAAGTTGCAAAGTTAGAGAAGATCATGAACGCTCACCCTGAAGATAAACCTACATAAGGACTGTTTAGGAGCAAGAAGCGTTTCAGCAAGTGGAGATTGGGAACATTTTGCTACCAGACGGTTACCTGCAAAGCCTTACCCACCTCTCCCAATCCCCACACTTACCTCCCACTCACAGCCCCAGGTGCTTGGTGGTTGGCCTGGTGCTCTCACCCTTCCCAGCTCCCTCCAAAAAACTTCCCTCAGAAAGGTCTGGTTACAACTAAGTGAAAATTTAGGTTAGTGGCCATGTCTGTCCGTCAGGGTTTCTTTAGACCTTATTTTTAATTTTGGAATGAAAGTCTGCTAAGAGAATTATACGGTAGACTTGGAGGGGGGAGAATTGAGGAGAGAGAATATGGATGATTGCTGTCATACAGCATAACTGATTCATATTATTTTTCCCCATATATTGTTTTTCTCTCCCCCTGCCTCCTCAACCCCATGTCTCACGCCTTAGCAAAGCAGCCCTCTACAAAGCAATGAACCAATAAGAGGCTTTGGGTGACACGAGCCAGAATTCTTATGAACGTCTGAGGCAGCTTCTCTTGGCCTCGCTGGGATGCTTCTCAACTCCTCTCCCACCTGAGGCAGATCTCTAGGGAAGATGAATAAGAAAGAGTCTCTTAAAGGAAAGTGAGTCTTACCAGAAGCTCACAGAAATCCCCGTTCACAGCTCCTCAGGTAGATAGCGGGGAGGGGGAAGGAGAGCATTTGGCTGGAAGAGGGAAAATCTGTGCCTAGGGCTGTGGGATGCACAGGGGAGACCCTACTGCAGCCACAGCACTGGTGGGTAGTGCCAACTCCATCCCACCTCCCCAACACATGAATCACAAAAGCTAGCAAGCCTCACTGCTGCAGGATGGGCAGCCTCGCCAGACGCTCTCCCCAGAGGTGGACGATAGGACTTGAGGACTGAGTGTGGAAGAAGGAGGTGAAGCTGGGCAGCACGCACCCCTCTTCCATCACACTTGTCTCTGAAAAGAATTTCACTGCTCACTACTTTCCTGCCATCACCACCTACACTGTGCTCTCTTTCCCTTTCCCTGGTTGCAACCAATTCACCACTCAAACTGCTGGGCAAGAGGATTTTTGTATTCCTATCTGATTGATTTTGCATTTGCTTCTACTTGTTGTTTGCATTTTAAATACTGGTTTTAATTGTATTGATCATTTTGGGGTTTTTTTGCAAAAGCTAATTTGGCTTTGTGTTATGTCTATGAAAATAAGCTTGTTTTTGAAAAGCGCCCATTTGCATACATTGTGTGTGCTTAAGGTACTGCATTTTAAACCAAGCGTTATTACTTGAAAGAAACATGGGTACCACCTGGCACAGATTTCCCTTTTGTCATTTTTATTTTTTTTAGAAAAAGAACCTGGGAAGAGAGATTAACAGACTTGTCCACAGTCACATAGCTAATTAGTGACAGTCATTAGAATAATGACACTAGAAATTAGATCATTTACCTCCTAAATCAGAGCTTTTCCACTAAAGCATTCTTCCTCTATATTATATGCTGAGCTTTTTTCCCTCCAGTTTTTCTCTCAGAAATTATGTTCATCACCTGCCTCATGATTAGCTCTTTCTTTTATCACCTCTGGAAGCAGTGGGAGAGAAGAATTTTTGGAAGCACTTACCTACTTGAGACCGAGTCCCAGAGAAGGATCGTTCTGAAGATGAAGTAAATAAACTCAGTCAACTTTTAATTCCTTGAATTCTCATGAATAATTGCAAGGATGGAAACATAGACAGCAATGGCTTTGATTCAGGCCACCTGGATTTTAGGCCTGGCTTTGCTAGTAACAAGATACAAGGCAATGCCTCAACTCTTTGGGCCTTAGTTTTCTCATCTGCAAGCTCAGGAGGTTCATCTCTATGATTTCATAGTTTTAGATGACTAAATATATTTTCCAAAATAAAGGTAACATGTGTTTATTGCAAAAAAGCTTTACAAGTAGAGAAATGTGTGAAGAAAAACATTTTAAAATAATCTCCCATAATGGAACAACTCAGAGATAACCACTGTTATCTATCTGAAGCATTTTTTTCAAGTCTTTTTTTCTATGATATTAATCAAAATTGAAGGAATATTGTATCCAGTTTTGTAGTTATTTTAACTAGATGGTTTACTTGTTCTATAAAAATCACTTACATTTGCCTTGAAATGGTGTTTTGTTTCTATTTCTGAAAGCACACTTCCTCCCTGACACCCAGCAATTCTAGTTTTCTAGGTAGCATAGTAATGCATTGTGTTTATTTTTCACATTTATTGTCTTCTTTGATCCTCATGAAGGAAGGTAGGCAGAGAAAGCATATGTTCCCATTTGAAAGATAAGGAAACTGAGGCTCAGTAAGGTAAAGTGATGTGCTCTAATTAGCCAGAAAGCATCAAGAACAGGGAATTTGAACCCAAAACTACTTGCCAAATACTCTTATCACACAGCTTCCATTTGGCCTGAGTTCCAAAAAGCAGACTCCATTGTCTACTAGCCCAGGGGGATGAAAAACTTCTGCTGACTCTCCTCTTTGTGCTGTCAGTGCATTTCTATGAGGAAGGATTGTTTGACCAAAAAAAAAAAAAAAAAAAAAAAAATTAGAAATTATGTGGATTGTTATAGTTTAAGGAATTGTTTACAGTGCTGACTCTACTAAATGTATCATCCAATTATCTCGAATGCTTTGGCATTTTGATTTTCTCTCTGGTACCACTAGGATCTTGTCCCTCATTATCTAACTATTTGCGATAAGCTTCTGCATGACCAGTTCTGACCTCAGGGATAGTTCTGTTATTGTATTTGATTTGACGGATTATAATTAGCTACTCTAAAATCCAATCACAGTAATGACATCCAATGACTGGAAACTGGGAACTGATCCAGGACTGGTCTATGATGGAAATAGAATGTACTACCTAACTGGCTTGAATTATAATTGGTCATATTAAAGTCTAATGTTGACTAATTCGGAGTACTGGAACAACTCTCAGTCGGGGTTTATGCTGTGCTGTTGAATACTTTTTGGAATTGAGATATATAGGTGGCTTGATGCTGGATCACACTGTGAAACTGACTGTAAGTCTCCAATTAACCAAAATTCAGAAGATGGCCATGCAGCCCAGACAAGTAAAGAAAGAGGGGGGAAATGTAACATTTATTTAGAGATTTTAATGTAGTACTCAGCCTTTATCTTACAGGTAAATCCTCATTAACCTTTGTCCTTGCCTATAACTGCTAAGAAATTACTCAGCAGGGTGAGAAAATCCCCCAATTATCTTCTGTTTAGTGTTGGCTGAGTGACCCTCCTGACCTAGGAGACAGCCAGGGGGCAAAGTTCCAGCATCAGCAAATCCTGAAGAGGGCCCAGGACAACTTCTGTTTCTCCCACCTTCCTGGAGCCTTTTCCTTCATTCTTCCTACCAGTGCACCAACCCCCCTGCAGTCTCAGCCCCCTCGCTCTCCTCTGCTATTTACCCACATGAAGAGGCTTCTGAGAAAGACTTTATCTGGGGCCATACCGGGGTGCTCCTTGAAAAGAAAACCTCTTGTAGGGCCCAGTAAGCAGGGCTTGGGCCTGGGTTGCCTCCCAGGCCTCCTGATCTTCCTTGCAAACTTCCATCTTTACCCTCCACACCCTGAGCTCCTCAACTGCTCAGTGGTTCATGGAGACAGATTGCACCCCAAGCAAATAAGTTAGTCTCCAGAACTGATGGCTTCTCTCCACTGTTCAGACAGTTGCCGCCTGGAAGCAGTAAAATAAAGTGAAGCCAGCAGGCGCCACAAGTCTGGCCATCGAAGGCCGTGGCCTGGAGCAGAAGCAGCTCAGCCTCACTTCTTCTGAGATAGGCCGCGGCCTCGCCAAGCTCTGACAGGTCCATCCTCCTTAAAGGGATCCACCACATCAGGCTGAGGCCTAAACGTGAGCCGAAAGGATTCACTCTGCAGAAGACGTGTAGGAAGGAACCAGGGGAAAGGAGACCTCAGGCACTGAAGTGAGAAACTAGTCACCACAGATGGACCAACGAGGGTTAAGTCTTCTTTTTCACTACCTCTCTGCTGTGTCTCAAGTATATGACAAAACTGTACACAAGGAATCTTACTCTAGCAGGATCAACTTATCCACTAGTCACAGAAGGCCCAGTGCCTAGAGTCCATGATGCTTTTAAGGGCCCACAAAACTATTTTAATTTCTTTTAAAAGCAGAAGAAAAATGTGAATATAATCTTAATGATATACAATAATGAAACCAGCCTGGATTCTGTTAATTGGTCTTTATACCAACACAGTTGTAAAATGCAATTTTTAATACTTTTTGTGAAGGAAGGGGCCCAGAAAGACAAAAGTGCCTACAGCCCATGAAAGTCATAATGCAACCTTAAAGAACAGAGCTCTGACCTGGGTGGGTGGTGGAATGGGGCAGACTGAGAAATGTCGAGCTGTGGACACCAGGGCCCTTGTAGGAGTGGAGGAAGGGCTTGCAGGTATCTAGGTGCATCCAGGTGGATGGAACATCGTAGGCAGATCATGGTGGCAAAGAGGGGAATGTTCAGCATTAGAAAGTAAAGGAATAAAAAGGTGAGTACTGCAGCAGAGATGAGTGTCTAGAGCAGATGGTATATGAAACTGCTGGCAGACAGATCTTTAGGAAGCTGTCCTGGGGCAGCACATGCTGAAGGAGGGAAGCAGGCTGTGTGGTGAACGGAGTGAGTGGGTGTAAGGAGTTCATCAGCTCAAGCAAGGCAAGTTCCAGTCTTGGAGGGACTGAGTTCCTGGGCAAATTATCAGGGCTAAATTCATTGAGCATTCAGTCTGTACCAAACACTTTACTTATTTTATCTTTAATCTGCACACTTTACATTTGAAAATGAGAAGAAGAAATGAAATCTGGGCTATCACGATCCCAAATGAGAGGTCATTCTCTCCAATTGGACAGAAAAGGTCTTAGGCTTTTTCCTCTCCACTCAAGCTTGCACAGCAAGTCTTCTTAGCCCCATTTTATAGATGAGAAGGTAGAGAAGGACTTTCCAAGGTGGCTTAGCTCTGGGACCTCATGACCGAACAGCCCATTGTCTACCCTGTCCGGAATGAACTGCAATCGCTTTGTATTTCATACGTGGGTGGAAATTAACAAGGCTAATCATGTATTTTACTGCACTTAATCTATTCTTTGCTTCGTGGTGACTTGGGTGCATCCATGACAGCACCTCTGAGATCTAAGGAGTACGGTTTAAAGCAAAGACTGATGGTCCACGACAAGAGCTAATTTTATCTCTGCCAGAAAATAAGCACGTGACTTGTAGGAAATCACTTAATCTCTCTAGGTTCAGTTTCCCTCCCTACACAATGCAAGTCCCTGTAATCTATAGGGACATTTTTCAAGATCGAGAGAAGAAAAGTACTCATGAGAAGCACGTGAGCCAAAGCCCAGAGATGGGAAACGGAGTGACATTGCCCAGGAGAAAAAGATAAAATTGACCTATCTGCAGGTGAGCAGTCAGATTTAGGATTTGTAATAATAATACTTCATAAGTATTTGAATAGTTAACATGGAGCTCGATGAAGAAAAGCTCTGAAAGTTAGGCAGAGAAACTTTGGAACAGACTATAGGAAACATCATAGACTCTGGGCAAGGACACGAGGGGAAGCAGTATTTTAGGAAAATGGCTCTGGCAGCATATTCAGGGTGAATTGGAACGGGGAGAAACCATAGTCAGGGAGACAAGTTGTGAGTCTGTATTTGTGAGAGAATTAAACCTTCTCCTCCTCTCACTACGTGTGACTTCCTGGTGACTTGTTCAATAGACAGTAGAGCTCAGGAAGTGTACTTTGATATGGAAGATATCCATAAGTTTGTGTGTGGGTGTGTGTGTGCGTGTGTACACATTTCCTGGAAAGATACCTAAGAAACGGGTATGTCTCTGGGGAACAGGATATGGGTGGGAGAAGGAGACAGTTATCCTACACTCTGTACAATTCTGGTCTGTTTCAATTTGTGGCATGTGCATGTACTTTCATATATAACAGATTTTTTAAAGTAGTTCTTATTATAACATCCAAGGATAAAGAGCTCACATCAAAATACAGAGCACACAGCTGTGTAAATCTCTTTCCTAGTCTGCACCAATTAGCATAATTAAAGGTGTAGAAAGCAGCCCTGGATAGGAGGAAACTGCATTGCCAGGAGTATAACTGTTTGGAGGTAGGTAACTGAGGCCAAGAGGATGACCTACATTAGTACCTTTGAAGTAACTACAAAGTGCAGATTACATGTATCCATTATTCACAGGGTACTTAGGCAACATTGCTCTCAGAAAGTTAGCCTCAGACAGAGGCCTTAGTTACTTATGCATGTTCGTGGTACAGCCAAACAACTATTACAGTTCTGTTCTAGCACTCACTTTTTCACTTTCTCAGGGACTGAGTAAATAAGTATATAAACCACCATGCTTCCATTTACATTGACATGATAACAATTTCCAGAGTTAAATGTGTCTTGGTTACCTAGTAAAGACAAGGAGTGGGAAAGCCTTATGTGAAAGGGAGAATTGACATGTGAACTTTTCACCTTGGCCTGGAAAGGCTCATACTGGTCAGAACTTAGCTGCCCTTGATAGGCGATAAGTTAACTGTCATGTGAGAAGTGACGCCAGTGTGGGCGACTGGCCATTCCAGGTGTCTGGGGACTGAAGCATTTCCCAGGACTTGGGACTTTCAGTGCTCAAATCAGGAAAGTCCCACACAAGCTGGAACAATTTGGTTACCCTCCTTTTAAGTCTAGAGCATTTAGTTATTTTTAAGAATAAAATCTCTAGTTTGGAAATTAGCTATTTTTATGCTGGTTGTATTTTCTGTGGTTCTCTCTCTCTCTCTCCAGGTATTTCGTCAATAGCTTTTTGAAAATGTCCATTTATTCTCTCATCCAACATGTACAAATTGCCCACCTACAACTGCCCACACTAGGCTTGGGGGCTACAGTAATGGGCAGGATAAATATGCTCTTTTCTCTCTTAGAGTAATAGACTGGGACTGGGTTGGACAGGGTCGGGAGAGGGAGTTCCTTCTGTCATGAATTACAGCTACACTTTAGGCAAATTTGAAGAGAAAAATCTTCATGCCCCCCCCCCACCCGGGGAGGAATGGTGCTGGTCATGCAGCAGAGGTCAGAATGAGGGAGCCCAGGGGACGGTGGAAGCCAGGGGAAGAGGTGAGTTTGTACAGCTGTGACGCCCAGCTCACCACTCAGCTGAAACCTTAGGAGGGGTGATGATTTTCTTGACACGAGAGGCCTTTTCCTCACACTGTTCTTTCACAGGCTCCTTCTCTCCCCCAGCATCCTCTGCCTGCCTCTTCAATGGAAGGGTTCCCATCTTTGGAAATGAACGCTGCGAGTCATTTCCAATTTCTCCTTTTCTCTCATGCCCACATTCAATTGATCACCAAGTTCTCTTGATTCTATAATTCTCAGGTTCTTAGCCACCTTTAGCAGACACGGTTTGGAGTGTCCACTGAGCCCACACACTTCTCTGAGAAGTGCCTGCCTTCATACACAGAAAAGGAACCACAAACTGTCATGTCTGTAAGGTGACACTGGTCACTGGCCCAGCTGATTACACCAAGTCTGAGTACCCAATCCAATCAGGGACAATCACGGTGTCTTTTCCTGGAAGACAGATTTGAGACTTAGATGCCACTCTCATTCTGGGTCTTTTGCTTGAACTGAGTGGTGCAGGCTTGGGGGTTGAGGTGGGCATTGTGGTGTGGTCACGTGGTGCCACGTGCATGGTAATCAGCAGAAGCATCAACAGAGAGGGAATCATAAGAATGAGGAGAAGCAGCCATAAAGAGATGAGGAAAGAGAGAGAAAAAGAGATTGCTTGCCTGTGTTCCAAATAGCTTTCCCGGTTACAGACCTCTTGAGACCTAGATTCAATTCCTGCCTTTGGCTTTCAAAAAATCTTTCAATAACCTTCCAATAAATCCCTATTCCTTTCCCCTAAACTCAGCTTTAAATGGTCTTAAGTGAGTTTCTGGTTTTGCCATCAACATATCCTTAACGAAGACGTTATGTCCCAGTCTCTGTACTAATACAGGTTCTTATTTGATCTCCTAAGATGTTGTGAAGATTATATATAAATAAAAGTCAGCACAGTGTCTGGTGCATTGTAAAACTTCAATCAATGTTAACTACTCTTATTACTATTCACAAGCATTTGTTCAGGCTTTGAATGCTAACTTGATTAGTGAATCTGAAATGTGTAAAACTGTAATAGAGGACAATACCTTGGGGAAGTAGGGAGGGGAGATGGAAATTCACAAAGTGGCAGTTGTAGTTGGGTGGATGCAGGTGAAACAACGGGATCATTTACTTGGGCAGTGCTCTATCCTGGGAGGTCACGTTGACTCTAGTCCTCTCACTGATGACCACACTGAATCCATCACAGGGCAATCTTACCTTTTTCAATCAGGGCCAGACAATACATTTCTGGAGGGAGGAGACACAGAGAGTGTCTCCTTTGAAATCCTCACCACCTTGGCATTTTAGTGCTTTTACTGTAAGCAGAAATTCAATCGAAGCCTATTAAGTAAATTGTTAAAAGAGTTAAAGTCTTTTCACGTTAGCAACCTCAACAGTTTTCAAGTTGGTTTCCTCATAATTGATTAGATTCAATTGAGTTCTTCATCAAGTTAGGTTATTATGCATGTTTACTTTCAAGGGCTTCCACTGCTCGGAAACCGTGATGCAAGTAATAAGAAGAAATAGTAATATTCCTCTGAGTAAACAAACACTAAGAATCTCTTGACAAAGCCTCTTCCATTATTAAAATTGGAGACAAAGTGCCTGAAAACGAGAATGGATTTATCCAGATGTCAACAGAGGAAGGGGAGAATTATCAAGCACTTA